TCTTCAGAGTGAGAGATCAAGGTGATAATGTATCCAGAGCCATAACCACAACTATACCTACCTGTAAAATGTGGGACTGGAGGAGACTATTCCTGTTCTTCCTCTTACCTAAGAGCTAGATAAATCAGGACAGGTGATCCAGGTTCTGGAGCTTCTCCAGGGCAGTTTAATTTTTTATTTAGAAGTAGCCTGAGTCTCTCCTGCCTGGCTTATCACTAGGCCATCAGCCCAGGGTCACTGGGAACTCTCACAATCAGCTGGGCATCTTTGAGACATTTGAGGATGCCCAGAGCAGAATTGTGCCAGGGTAACAAAAGTGGCTAATTCTGCTTCTGTCTCAGAGTAAAAAATTGAGTTATCCTGTGTCTTCTCTACTCACACAAGAGATGACTTTGGTGGGTACCCAGATGAGTGTTTCTCTAGTTTTCTGGTGCTTGGGTGAAAACCAACCAGGATGTCTGGAGACTCAAACAAATCAACTAATTGCTTTTATTTTCCATGGCCATTAGAAAAATAGATGAAGCAGTCATCCAGGAACCATCCAGAAACTTTTAGTCTAAACTAGCAGCTCAATAAAGGGTTGAATTAAGCATCATATGGTTGATTCATTGAACAGATGTGTGCAAAAAACCTTGCGTTGTATTTGGGCCACTTTCTTTATATTGTAGTAACTTATGTCATCACCTGGAGGGATATTTATGAACAGAAGGATGATTATTATATGCATTTCTATTACCTGCTAAGAATACATATTTATCTTATAATAATTACCCTAGAGAACCTTAATTATTTAAATTGCTTATTAATATGCATTATGTAATTGACAGGGCAGTGGCTAAAAAAAAATTATACAAACTCAGAGATTTAAGTTTCTCTTAGGCAAACTTAGGAAAACAGAACTGGAAATACCCCAGTGGCACAGAGAACAGAATTCTACGTAAGGTCCACTCCCTATCCCAGTTCTGTTCAGATTCATTCTATTTGGGGGTCTTATTTAGATCTGGCCCCACTCTGGAGTCTTGCCTTACAGAACTGATTGGAAGAGATGAGAGTTTTGGCTGGTGAATCCTGCTGCCTTTCTAAGGCTGGTGCTCACAATTTTCTGCACCCCAAAGGAGATAAATGGGAAAAGTAAAGTATATATTTTAAGGTCTTAATTTTTAAATTTTCTATTAAATCAGTGCTTGCAGATTCCATTTGGCATCTTGTTTTCATTCCTGCAGATTCAGTAGTTGCTCCACTAGTCACAAAAAAAAAATACATACATATCTATATATATTATATATATAGATATATATAAAAACAGTAAAAGTTTCTGTAAACTACATTAAACTTTTTTCAGGTAATTTGTGTACATTTAGCTTTTATTCTATACATTTTCTTTAAAAAACCAAGAACAGAAACAGAAGGTGAAATACATATACTGGGCCCTTCACCTAATGCTGGGAATTATTAAACACTTAGTACGAACTCCCAGTGTGTTATGAGGATTAAATCACATAATGTGTTATTTCTAGCGCAGTGCTCTGCAACATACTCTTGAGCACATAGTACCTGCTTAGTAAACATTGCATCAGTACATGTGTATATGTTTTCCAAATGCAGGCTTATTCAGGCACTGCTACCTTTTATTGCCTCTGTAAACTTTAAAGAACCAGCAAAGAATTTGATACTTTAGGGTGGAGATTGGTTGTCTTCATTTGTGCCAGAAGTATGTGTTGTGACAAGAGTGCCAAGTATAAGGGACTCTGTACTGTGCCTGCTTCTCTAACAAATGCTAATGATGAGCCTATGGGGAGCATCATCAGCATTGACAGGGGACTTATTTAAAACACACATTCATGTACCCTTTGAAAACCTGCAGAATCATATTACATAGAGAGGGACTAAAATTACCGAGTAGTTTATAAGCTCATTAAAGCTTGAGAGGCAATGCTTAGCTAAGTGGTTAAAAACCCAGGGTTCTATTAGTTTGGTGCAAAAGTTATTACAGTTTCTGCCATTGTAAGTAATGTGGATTACTTAGATGTGGATACTCAAATTACATTGCCAATTCACGGAAATATCTTTGCTCGTGCCCTTTCCACGGGTTCTTTTTATTGTTGGACACATCTATGTTGTTTTAATTAAGTGCCTCATGTGACTCTAAGGTGTGGCCAGAATCAAGTATGAGGGGTTGAAGATACACTCATGAGAGTTCAGTTTCAGCTGTTTTCTACAGGGTGATCATAGGTCCTGTTCTGTTTGGGTTTGGTGTAGACGGCAGTGTGGCCCATATTTTTATTACTGTAGCAGAGATTGTTGGTATCTGTGGCAGGGAAGGGCACCGAAAACAGGAAAGGAGAACTATATGTTTCTATCATCATGGAGCAACTAATTGTTCCTGAGTTTTTCATGTTATAAAGGACAGAAGTGGGTGGACTTTTTCAGTGGGTCTTGGTACTTCTGCCCATGGGTGTGGAGGTAGCAGGTAAACAGGTGGTGCTGACACTTTTAAAGGCATATTCTCAAGATGCAGGTGTAATTTGTCCAGAGAATCTCAACTGAAAAGGTGTCCCAGAGAAGGAGGAGATAGGGAAAAAAATATGCTTTTTTTTTTTTTTTTTTTAAAGCTAAACATGTCTCAGATCAAGAGCTGTCTCTACTCTGCCTTCTGGAATTCCATCCATTTAGTACTTGCAAACCGTTACTTGTGTTTTTCCTCCCTAATGAGTTTGTTTTAACTACTTTTAAAAACTTCATTGATAGTCAAAGGTCTCTGAAAATTATTTCTTTTTAGAACCTTCTCTAAATTCTCAACATCATGGCTTTTTATATGCCATGCAGGTTTCTAATCATAATTTATGATCTGCAGTATTAAAAATGTATCCTTTGTGGCTGTTGAACATGAGGTGGTGGGGATACTCAAGATTTCTATTGGGGAAAAGCTGGAATCCTTAGTACAGATGGAGAGCAGGTAATGTTGAGGCTCCATTTGTGTTCACCATTAGCACTAAGCAGAATGGGATTAAGGACATGCTTATTTAAACAAGATGAGGGCTGGGCACAGTGGCATATGCCTGTAATCCCAGAAGTTTGGGAGGCCGAGCAGGGTGGATCACCTGAGGTTAGAAGTTCAAAACCAGCCTGGCCAACATGGCGAAACCCTGTCTCTCCTAAGAATACAAAAATTAGCCAGGCATGGTGGTGCACGCCTGTAATCCCAGCTACTTGATAGGCTGAGGCAGGAGAATCGCTTGAACCCAGGAGGTGGAGGTTGCACTGAGGTGCAATTATGCCACTGCACTCCAGCCTGGGTGACACAGTGAGACTCTATCTCAAGAAAAAAAAGATGAGATTTATTACTCAGAAAGCTCAGAAGATAATTATCAGGAGATAACTACTCTCTAGGGTGCTCAAAAAAGACTCCTAAAAACCACTACTAAAAATTACAGAAAATGGGAAATATCTGTATCTTGAAGTTTGCATAAAACTGATATTTCTGTTTGGTTACATTCAGCCTGTAATTTACTTTTTTTTTTTTGAGATGGATTTTCACTCTTGTTGCCGTGCTGGGAGCCACCACTGCCGACCAGCCTATAATTTACTTTTTGGGAACAGTATTTCATCAGTGATGCTGTGTTCTTCTGTGTGTATCAGCACATCATAAAAATTTGTCGTACTGCTGTTGATGTTTATGATTCACTTGGATAAGTGCGCTCTGATTTTTTTTTTTTTTTTACTATTTTTTTTTACTATTTTTTTTTTTTTTTGCCCAGCTTGGAATGCAGTGGTGCGATCTTGGCTCACTGCAACCTCCGCCTCCTAGGTTCAAGCGATTCTCCTGCCTCAGCCTTCTAAGTTGCTGGGACTACAGGCACCCACCACCATGCCAGGCTAATTTTTGTAAAGGTCTTTTTTTTTTTTTTGAGTCTCTTCATTATTAAGTGTCTTTATGCAGCTGGTGTGTATAAACTATCAAATTTAATCTGTCAGCTGCTCTTCTTTCTTAGGGTTTTTTGCATATATCTGTCCTTGGAAAATAAAGACTTTCATCTTCTTTTGTAATCCAGAAAAACTGGGAAAAACACAGGTTCTTCAACATACTGAATGTTTGATAAAATATTCTTCTTAGGCCAAAATCATTGGCATTACTGGTGAGCTTGTTAGAAATTCAGAAGCTCAGACTTTATTCCAGATGTTCTAGAAAAAATAATCTCCATTACAAGATCTCCAGTCTATTGTACACATTAAAATTTGATAGGTACCTTCTAACTCAACATGTCTTTTTTATCTCAAAAATACGCAGAACTCATTGTCTAAGGTGTTAACATCACACTCAAAAACATACAGGCTTAATTTTTTACTTTAATGCTTTTATACTTTTTTATAATTTTATACTTTATTATCCAGAATACATGCCTTAATTTTATACTTTATTTATTTTTATACTTTTTTTATACATGCTTTTGTTTTATACTTTATTATCCAGAAAAGTATCATATATACACTGATGTTGTGGATCTTATTCCACTCTTTTCAGAGTTAGAGAATACATAAGAGAGTATTTCTGTGTTGAAAATCATTTTCAACAAGGCGTGGTGGCTCACGCCTGTAATCCCAGCACTTTGGGAGGCCGCGGTGCATGGATCACCTGAGGTCAGGAGTTCGAGACCAGCCTGACCAATATGGTGAAACCCTGTCTCTACTAAAATTACAAAAATTAGCTGGGCGTGGTGGCGGGCATCTGTAATCCCAGCTACTTGTGAGGCTGAGGCAAGAGAATCGCCTGAACCCAGGAGGCAGAGGTTGCAGTGAGCTGAAATTGCACCATTGCACTCCAGCCTGGGCAACAAGTGCAAGACTCTGTCTTAAAAAAGAAAAAAAAAATTTATCGGATGATTTAGTCATTCCTATAAGTCAGAACCTGTTCTCTTTACTCTCGTTTCACCTTTAGTCAAATTAAAAATTCTGCCCTTGGCCACCTGATGTGTGTATGTATGTGTGTTTTTCAGGGACCATTGACATTCATGGATGTGGTAATAAAATTTTCTCCAGAAGAGTGGCAATTCCTGCACACTGCACAGCAGAATTTATATAGGGATGTGATGTTAGAGAACTACAGAAACCTGGTCTTCCTGGGTGAGAATAACTTCAATACACAATTCTAAGATACTCTACATTTTTCTTTTTTGTTGTTTTTGTAGAATGTTTTTTGGTAATTGATGCTTTGCATAAATGAGTTTCACATCAGTGTTTTGAAGAAAATCTTGGGAATTTGTCAGTGTAGAAAAGGATTTCTTTAAGATAAACGTCTTGAAGTTCACCTTGATCTGAACTTTCCACATTCCTGAGCAGACCTGTATTTTTTATTCTACATTAGTGACAATTTCAAAATTTAGTGACATAAAATATTGTTGCCCACATCTTAACATGTAATTGTCGACACCAGCTTTTGATTCATTGGTACTGAGTAAACTATTATTTATTTATTTATTTTATTTATTTATTTATGAGAGGGAGTGTTGCTGTTGCCCAGGCTGGAGTACAATGGCGCGATTTTGGCTCACTTGAACCTCCCGGGTTCAAGAGATTCTTCAGCCTCAGCTTTCTGAGTCACTGGGACTACAGACGTGTGCCACCAAGCCCAGCTAAGTTTTGTATTTTTAATAGAGAAGAGGTTTCACCGTGTTGGCCAGGCTGGTCTCGAACTTCTGACCTCAAGTGATCCACCCTCCTCCGCCTCCCAAAGTGCTGGGATTACAGGCATGAGTCACCGTGCCCAGCCCATTTTCTAAATATTTAGAAGTTACTGTTATAAATTAGTGTTTTGGGGTTAATATACTAGAATATTCCATTACGTTCTCTTTACTGAGCACATTATTTGAAGAATATGAGCAACATTCATGTTACTTATTTTTAATAAAACAGGTATTGGTGTCCCTAAGCCAGATTTGATCACCTGTCTGGAGCAAGGAAAAGAGCCCTGGAATATGAAAAGACACAAGATGGTAGCCAAACCCCCAGGTAGGTGAGAGTGAACACAATGGACAACACAGATGAGAGGTCCAAAGGTTAAGGAGAAAACCAGTCCTTAAAATAGATTTTGGGAAGCTGTGTTCCAAAGAAAATAGTTTCAAGAAAATCTATATTTTCATATTTTCAGGGGAACCATAAATATCTGCATAATTTTATAAAACTCTGTGTTAGGCCGGGCAAATGTCTCACGCCAGTAGATCCAGCACTTTGGGAGGCCAAGGCGGGTGGATCACCTGAGGTCAGGAGTTCGAGACCAGCCTGGCCAACATGGTGAAACTCGTTCTTTACTAAAAATGTAAAAATTTCCTGGTCGTGGTGGTGCACGCCTGCTATTCGGTGTAATCCCTGCTATTCGGGAGACTGAGGCAGGAGAATTGCTTGAATTAAGGAAGCAGAGGTTTCAGTGAGCCGGTGTCATGCCATTGCCCTTCAGCTTGTGTGAGAAGAGAGAAAGTCCGTCTCAAAGTTTAAAAAAAAAAACAATAAAAAAACCTATGTTAAACTATTTTTTAATTTCTCTTGTTTTACCATGTTTAAAATATGTGAGAGTAGTGGTTTCTGTTCCATTTGTTTTTTCATTTTTCTGCATAATTCATCCTGTTTTTATTAGTATAGCCTTGAAATACAGTTTGGGATTATTAACTGTGACATCCTCCCGGTTCTTTTTTGTCAAGATTGCTTTGGCTATTCAAAGTTTGTTGAAGTTTCATGTAAATTTTAGGATTGTATTTTACATTACTATATAAAATATACCACTGGAGTTGTTTTTTTTTGTTTTTTTTTTTTGAGATGGAGTTTTGCTCTTGTTGCCCAGGCTGGAGTGCAGTGGCACGATCTGGGCTTACTGCTACCTCCGCCTCCTGGGTTCAAGCGATTCTCCTGCCTCCGCCTCCCAAGTAGCTGGGATTACAGGCATGTGCCACCATGCCTAGCTAATTTTTAGAGACAGGGTTTCACCATGTAGGCCAGGCTAGTCTTGAACTGCTGACATCAGGCGATTTGCCCACCTTGGCCTCCCAAAGTGCTGGGATTACAGGTGTGAGCCACTGTGCTTGTTGTTGTTGTTTTTTTTTTAATTGAGATGGAGTCTTGCATTTGTCGCCCAAGCTGGAGTGCAATGGTGCGATCTCGGCTCATTGCAACCTCTGCCTCCTGGGTTCAAGTGATTCTCCTGTCTCAGCTTCCCCACAGCTGGGATTATAGGGAAGAGCCACCACACCCAGCTACTTTTTGTATTTTTAGAGACAGGGTTTCATTATGTTGGTCAGGCTGGTTTCGAACTCCTGATCTCAGGTGAATCACCTGCCTAGACCTCCCAAAGTACTGGGATTACAGGTGCGAGCCACCACTTCGGGCCAATCACATGTGATTTGCAAATAGTTTTACCAGTTTTCAAATATTTTACCAATTTCCTTTGAAGAGAGACCTTGTCACTCTTTTGAATTTTTCTTTTTCTTTTTTTTTTTTTTTGATGTGCAGAAATATTAAAGTATGGTGTGGTTAAATTTCTATTTTCTTTTTTCTGTTGTTCATGCATTTAATGTCATATCTAAGAAAATGGTGCCAAGACCAATTTCATGTCTTTCCCCTATATATATATATATTTTTTTTTTTTTTTGAGGCAGAGTCTCACGCTGTTGCCCAGGCTGGAGTGCAGTGGCCGGATCTCAGCTCACTGCAAGCTCCGCCTCCCGGGTTTGCGCCATTCTCCTGCCGCAGCTTCCCAAGTAGCTGGGACTATAGGCGCCCGCCACCTCGCCCGGCTAGTTTTTTGTATTTTTTAGTAGAGACGGGATTTGACTGTGTTAGCCAGGATGGTCTCGATCTCCTGACCTCGTGATCCGCCTGTCTCAGCCTCTCAAAGTGCTGGGATTACAGGCTTGAGCCACCGCGCCTGGCCTCCCCTATATTTTTTATAAGAGAATTGTTATTTTTTATTTCTAAGTACCATATAAATATATATATATACACACACACACCCCTATATATATATACACACACATATATAAAATTTTCTTTTCTTTTTTTTTTTTTTTTTTTTTTTTTTTTTTTTTACAAGATGTAATCTTGTTCTGTTGCCCAGGTTGGAGTGCAGTGCCATCATCTTGGCTCACTCCAACATCCACCTCCTGGGTTCAAGTGATTCTCCTGCCTCTCAGCCTCTCGAATAGCTGGAATTACAGGCACCTGCGACCATGCTCTGCTAATTTTTGTATTTTTAGTAGATAGGGGTTTCAACATATTCTCCAGCCTGGTCTCAAACTCCTGACCTCAGGTAGTCTGCCCACCTTGGCCTCCCAAAGTGTTGGGGTTACAGGTGTGAGCCACTGTGCGTGGCCCTAAAATACTTTTTGTATATAGTTCAAAGAAACAATGCAGCTTTATCAGTGTAGGTATCCAGTTTTCAAAATTATTATTTGAAGAGATTATTTTTTCTCCATTGTGTGCTCATGGTAACTTTGTGGAAGATCATTTGATCATATACAGAAGGTTTTATTTCTGAGCTCTTTATTCTTTTGTTTTTTTTCTTCTGTTTATCTTTGTGTTAGTATCACATTGTTTTTGGGATTGTAGCTTTTAATATGTTTTAAAATCAGGAAGTATAATACTTATTTTTCAGGGTGTTTGGCTAGTTATAGTTTACAATCAAATTTAAAATTTTTGAACAACATACTTGTCTAAAAAATCTGTGCTATTAGGATTTTATAAAGGTTATATTAAATTTGTTCACCCTTGTAGGTTGTATTGACATGTTAACAAAATAAAATTTTTTGACCCTTCAGCAAGTATATATTGAAGAGTGTGTTTTATATTTGTTTATTTTTCTAATCTCTTTTTAGAGACAGGGTCTTACTATGTTGTGCAGGCTAGTTTCAACCTCCTGGGCTCAAGCAGTTCTCTTGCCTTGGCCTCCAAAATTGTTAATATTACAGGCGTGAGCCACCATGCCTGTCCCGTGTGTTTTATTTTATGTATTTTTGGATTTGCCTGTTTTTCCTAGTTTCATTCAGTTTTGGTCAGAATACACATAGTGTATGATTTTGGTCTTAAGTTTATTTGTTGTTGTTGTTTTGAGACAGAATCTCACTCTGTCACCCTGACTTTTCTTTATAAGTTATCCACTTTCAGGTATTCCTCTATGTGCAAAATAATTAATAGAATCTATAATGTTGTCTATGCTTCCTATTTTCTTATCGATCTTTCATCTGAATTTTTAATTTATTATTTAAAATGGGATTATGGTGTCTAAAATCATTGCGTTGCTATGTATTTTCTGTTTCACTTTGCCAATATTTGCTTTATATATTTTGGATATATGTCTCATGTATTATAATATATGATATTTATATATATATATCATAATATATATGATAGTTATAGATTCCTGGTAAAGTGACCCATTTGACCATTACATATCAATTTTTGTCTCACATTAGTACTTGACTTAAGGCATATTATGCCTAATATAATTATGACCACCTCACTTCATTGCGGTTACTATTTACATGGAATATAGATTTTTTCCATTATGTTGCTTTCACCCTGTTTGACTCAATGCTAAAATGAGTCTCTTATAGACAGCCTACTGTATTGCTTTTTTACTTAATCCTCTCACACATCTTGTTTCTTATTCTTTTTATAAATTTAATTAATTAATTAATTATTTTTTGAGACGAAGTCTTGCTCTCTTACCCAGGCTGGAGTGCCAGTGGCCGATCTCAGCTCACTGCAAGCTCCGCCTTCCAAGTTCACGCCATTCTCCTGCCTCAGCCTCCCGAGTAGCTGGGACTACAGGCGCCCGCCACCACGCCCGGCTAATTTTTTGTATTTTTAATAGAGATGGGGTTTCACCGTGTAGCCAGGATGGTCTTGATCTCCTGACCTTGTGATCCGCCCGCCTTGGCCTCCCAAAGTGCTGGGATTACAGGCGTGAGCCACCGCGCCCGGCCCTTAAATTTAATTATTTATTTAGGATAGGATCTCACTCTGTTAACCAAGCTAGTTTGCAGTGGCCTTATCACAGCTCACCACACCCTCAACCTTCCCAAACTCAGATGATGTCAATTCAGCCTCTTAAGTAGCTGGGTTACAGGCATGTGCCATCATCACCCAGCTGGGTTTTTTGTTTGTTTGTTTGTATTTTTTGTAGAGACAGGGTTGCCCAGGCTGGCCTTGAACTACTGAGATCAAGTGATAAGGCCACTTGGGCCTCACAAAGTCCTTGGATTACATGATTACATTTCTCTCTCTTTTTTTTTTTTTTTTTTTTTTTTTTGAGACAGAGTTTTGCTCTTGTTGCCCAGGCTGGAGTGCAATGGCACAATCTTGGCTCACCACAAGATCTGCCTCCCAGGTTCACATGATTCTCCTGCCTCAGCCTTTTGAGTAGCTGGGATTACAGGCATGTGCCATCATGCCCAACTAGTTTTGTGTTTTTAGTAGAGAAGGGGTTTCTCCATGTTGGCCAGGCTGGTCTCAAACTCCCAACCTCAGGTGATCTTCCTGCCTCGGCCTCCCAAAGTGCTGGGATTATAGGCGTGAGTCATCGTCCCTGGCTACATTTCTTTTTATTAAGTTGTTTAATTTACATTTAAAATAATTGCTTAAAGATATGAAGTTACTATTAACAGTTTATTATTGTTTTATGTATTTTTTGTAGATACGTTTTTTCTCGTTTCCTGTTTTACTGCCTTAATTTTTATTTTAATTTTGTGACATGCCTTGGTTATTTTTTATTGTTTCACATACTTTCTATAAATATAATGCAATCATCCTGAAATATAATGTAATCATTTTGAAAAATGGAGATTAAATAAAACATCTTGAAGTTAAAACAATACATTTTAATATGATAACTTCAATTGAATACAAAAACCTATAGCTTTATATTTTCCAGTTTGTTATTGATATTATAAATATATTGTGTATCTATTAACAAATGTATGCAGATTTAGTCTTGGTTTTTATATTTACAGAAGTTGTTTAAGGGTTTTATGTACCATCATTATAATAGAATTCTGTGTGTGTCTCTATATATTTTAACAGAGAGCTCTCTCTATATATACATATACATGTATATATTTTTTTTTAAGAGGAGTTTTGCTCTGTTCATGCAGGCTGGAGTGCAGTGGCATGATCTCGGCTCAGCTCACTGCAACCTCCGCCTCACAGGTTCAAGCGATTCTCCTGCCTCAGCCTCCTGCATAGCTGAGATTATAGGCATGAGCCATCACACCCAACTAAATTTTCTATTTTTAGTAGAGATGGGGTTTCAGCATGTTGGTCAGGCTGGTCTTGAACTCCTGACATCAGGTGATCTGCCCGCCTTGGCCTCTTAAAGTGCTGGGATTTTATGATGCTGTCCAGCATGATTTTATTTTATTTATTTATTTAAAAAAATTTTTTTTTTTTTTGAGACGGAGTCTTGCTCTGTCGCCCAGGCTGGAGTGCAGTGGTGCAATCTCAGCTCACTGTAAGCTCTGCCTCCTGGGTTTACGCCATTCTCCTGCCTTCAACAAGATTGAAACTCCATCTCAAAAAAAAAAATGCTTCCTCAAATTTTTAGTTTTTATATTGTTCTCTAGAATTCTTTAAATTTTATAGAATAATTACGATTGTTTTCTGCATCATTATAACAATGGTAAGAAATTTCATTTTTATGTATGTGCATATCTTTCCTAGAAAATAATGTATTTTTATATGATTGTGTGTTGTTTTCTCTCTCTCTTTTTTATTTTTGAGATGGATTCTTGCTCTGTCACCCAGGCTGGAATTCAGTGGTGCAATCTCGGCTCACTGCCACCTCCACTTCCTGGGTTCAAGTGATTCTCCCTCCTCAGCCTCCTGAATAGCTGGGATTATAGGCACACACCACCACACCTGGCTAATTTTTGTATTTTTAGTGGAGACAGGGTTTTGCCATGTTGGCCAGGCTGATCTTGAACTCCTCACCTAAGGTGATCCATCTGCTTTGGCCTCCCAAAGTGCTGGTATTACAAAAGGTGTGAGTCACCATACCTGGCCTGTTGTTTTCTTGAATCGTGTTATTTTCAGTGGAAGAAACTGCTTTCGGTATCTTTTATACATAGGGCACATGCAGCGCCAATATACTTTTTCAGAATTTGATTACTTTGGAAGGTTTTTTTGTTTTATTTTTGGCAGGACAGATTTGCTGATAGTATTATTCTCAGTTGGTAGCTATTTTTTCAGGACTTTGACTATATCACACAGTTCCCATCTGGCCTCCAAAATTTTTGTTGACAATTTAGTGGTTATCTGAAAGCCTGCTTGTAACTGCAAGCAGTTTCCAAGATTCTCTTTTTGTCTGTGACTTTTAAAAGTGTGCCTATATATGTGTTTGCTATAAATATTTTTGTGTTTTTCCTAGTTTGTTGAGCTTCTTCATTTTTATTTTATGTTTTCTTTTAGAATTTTTTTGTTTGTTTTTCTTGAGACAGTGTTCCTCTGTCTCCCAGGCTGGAGTGCAATGGCGTGGTCTTGGCTCACTGCAACCTCCACCTCCCAGGTTCAAGCAATTCTCCTGCCTCAGCCTCCTGAGTAGCTGGGAGTACAGGTGCTTGCCACCACACCCAGCTAATTTTTTGTATTTTTAGTAGAGATGGGGTTTCACCATGTTAAGCAGGATGGTCTCGATCTCTTGACCTTATGATCTTCCCGCCTTGGCCTCCCGAAGTGCTGGGATTATAGACATGAGTCACTGCGCCTGGCCACAATTTTTTAGTTATAATTTTTTAAAATATTTTTTACTTCCACAATTTCTGTTTTTTTTGATATTTCATACTTTCGTTACCCTCATTTTTCTGTTTTTCTATAGTTATCTGTTTCCATTTCACTCATCGAGTATTTATGTATTTGAATATAAAATTATTCACTTTATTTTCAATTTTTAAAATTAATACAAACATCTTTTTTTTTTTTTTTTTGAGATGGAGTCTTGCTCTGTCCCCCAGCCTGGAGTACAGTGGTGCGATCTCGGCTCACTGCAAGCTCTACCTCCCGGGTTTACGCCCTTCCCCTGCCTCAGCCTCCTTAGTAGCTGGGACTACAGGCGCACACCGCCACGCCCAGCTAATTTTTTGTATTTTTAGTAGAGATGGAGTTTCACTGTGTTAGCCAGGATGGTCTTGATCTCCTGACCTCGTGATCCGCCAGCCTTGGCCTCCCAAAGTGCTGGGATTACAGGCATGAGCCACCCTGCCCGGCCTATAAACATCTTTTTTATAATTTATTTCTGAAAACTTTATGATATATTTGATGGAACTGTGGTGCCCTATTTTGTATACATTGTAGTCTTTAAGATTTGGATGTTATTAAAAGCTACCTGTCACATAAGTTATGGCATAGTCTGAAAATAATTATCTTTGTTAGAGATGTTGGGAGTCTGTCAAACAGGTTCTTATGACATGTCTTGTCTGAATTTAGTGTTTACTTTCTAGTTAGAGAAGTTTATTCATGTTTCTTTAGAGTCATCACTTGCTACACCTGTTTCCTGTCTGTTATACTGCAGTTTCTCTGCTACTGTAACATTTACATTTAGTCTCAGCAAACTCAAAGTGTCACTTGAAAGTATATGACTTTATGTCATTGGAAACAGAAACCAAGTATCTGGAAAAGCCCCTAGAAGACGGAAATAAAGATGAATGTGCCAGTATTTTACTTGTCTTTTAAAAAAGAATTCAGGAGCTTACTATTTACTTGTAAAGGTTCTTTGGTATATTGGGGAGCAGGAAGAGCTGTTTTGGGTAGATGTAATAAACTTTTCTCTTCATTCTATGAGGGTCTTTGGGGCACTGCACCTACTTAACTCATTTATACATTTTCCACAAATGTATTTTGGTCTGTATGTTTTTGTTACATTTGTATGTCTATGAAGTAATTATGGCCTGTGGTATTTTCCTATGCCATCTTGCTTATGTAGTTTGTATAATTTTATAACTTAGATTTGTAAAGTATATCCGTCTGAGTCTAGTAAGTGAAGTAATTTGTTATTTTTATTTTTTTCAGTTGTGTATTCTCATTTTGCCCAAGACCTTTGGCCAGAGCAGGGCATAAAAGATTCTTTCCCAAAAGTAATACTGAGAAGATATGGAAAATATGGACATGGCAATTTACAATTAAGAAAAGGCTGTGAAAGTGTGGATGAGTGTAAGATGCACAAAGGAGGTTATGATGAACTTAAGCAATGTTTGATAACTACCCGGAACAAAATATTTCAGTGTGATAAATATGTAAAAGTCTTTCATAAATTTTCAAGTTCAAATAGCCATAAGATAAGACATACTGGAAATAATTCTTTCAAATGTAAAGAATGTGGCAAATCATGTTGCATGCTTTCACACCTAACTCAGCATGAAAGAACTCATACTAGAGTGAATCATTACAAATGTAAAGAATGTGGCAAAGCCTTTAGTATGCCCTCAAGTCTTAATAATCATAAGAGAATTCATACTGGAGAGAAACCCTACAAATGAGCCCTATTAACTACAGAGAATTTATACTGAGAGAAACCTTACAAATGGGCAATGGGCAAAGCTTATAACTGGGCCTTCAACTGGCTGTGTAAACACAGAGAATCATACTGGAGAAACCTTACAAATGTAGAAGAATGTGGCAAAGCCTTTTAGTGAGTCCTAAGCCTTAATAATCATAAGAGACCATATTTGGGAGAGAAACTCTGTACAAATGTGGAGAAGTGTGATAAAGCTTATAATCTGGCTTTCAATCATTAGTAAACACAGAGAATCTATACTGGAAAGAAACTCAAATGTGGAAGAATGTGGTAAAGCCTTTTTAGTGAGCCCTTTGTTTCAGCCAACTCACAAGAGAATTCACTGGGAGAGAGAAACCCTACAAATGTGAAGAATGTAAGTAAAAGCTATAACTGGCCTCTTAAATCATTAGTAAACATAAGAGAATCATCAAAAGAACTTTATGGGCTGTAAGAATGTGGCAGTTTCTCAGTGAGTCCCCTGTTTGTGAAACATAAGGAATCGCCACTGAGAGAAACCCATAAATGTAGAAGAATGTGGCAAAGCTTTTAAAAATACGTGCACACCTTACTACACAGCAATAGAGAATTCATACTGAGAACCCTGCAAATGTAAAGAATGTGGCAAAGCCTTAGTGTGTCCTCATGCTTTAATGAACACAAGTAGAATTCATACTGAAGTAAACCTACAATTAAAAGAATGACAAAGCCTTTTTTAGAGATGTCCCAACTCAGTAAACATAAGAGAATTCATACTGAGAAGCTTTACACAATGTGAAGAATGTGGCAAAGCTTTAAATACGTATACACCTTACACATAACAGAATCTATACTGGAGAGAACTCTACAAATGTGAAGAATGTGGTAAAGCCTAGTGTGAGTCCTTCAAGCTCAATAATCATAAGAGAATCTGCCACTGAGAGAACCCTACAATGTAAGAACAGCAAAGCTTTAAAACACGTGCACACCCCATTACATATACACCTGGTACTGAGAAACCACAAATGTGAAGAATGTGACAAAGCCTTTATGAGTCCTCAAGCCTTAGTAACATAAGAGAATTCAGCATTGAGAGAAACCCTTACAATGTGTAAGAATGTATGTGCTGAAAATATGTACACCTTTACTACACATAACAGAATTCATAAATGACAGAGAAACTCACAATGTGGAAGAATGATAAAGCCTTTCAAGGTCCCTAAGCCTTAGTAAACATAAGATAATCCATAATTAGAGAACCTGTGCCTGCAGGAATGTGGTGTGTGTTTAAAATACAAAATCTTACTACACATAACAGAATCCATACTGGAGAGAACTTTACAAATGGAAGAATGTGGACAAAGCCTTTAGTGAGTCCTCAAGCCTTATAAACATAAGAGAATCACACTGAGAGAAACCCCACAAATGTGAAGAATGTGGCAAAAGCTTGCAAAGACACACACTACTACACATAACAGAATCATACTGAGAGGAAACCCTACAAAATGTGTAAGAAATGTGATGCCTTTAGTATGTCCCTAAGTCTTAAACATAAGACAATTTGAGACTTGGAGAACTTTAAATGAAGAATGTGGCAAAAAGCTTTAAAATACGTATCTAGCCACACATGGCCATTCATACTGGAGAGAAACCCTACAAATGTGAAGAATGTGGCAAAGCCTTTAACCGATCCTCATCCCTTACTATACATAACAGAATTCATACTGTAGAAAAACCTTACAAATGTAAACAATGTGGCAAAGGTTTTAGCCAGTCCTCATCCCTTACTAAACATAAGATAATTCATACTACAGAGAAACCCTACAAATGTGAAGAATGTGGCAAAGCCTTTAACAAGTCCTCAATTCTTAACATACATAAGATGATTCATACTAAAGAGAAACCACAAACCTTAAAGATTTGACAATGCTTTTTACGAAATCTCAAACTTTTTAAAATATGAAAGCGATCATGCTGGTGAGAGAGAACTAGAAATGTGAAGGATACGACAAAGCCTTTAAAGGCTATTTAAATAGTTGTCTCACTTGATTGTAGGTAAGATACTTTATACTCGAGAAAACTACAAGTGTGAAGAATGTGGCAAAACTTAACTAATGCTCATACCTTAGTGCACAGGAAATAATTTATTTTTGAGACAAATTGTACAAATATAAAGAATGTGACAAAGCCATTAATAACTGCTCACATCTTAACATCAGAGAGCTAATACAAGCATTAAAAGTGCAATTACTGTCAAAAGATCTTCCAGAAAATAGAAGCCTTTAAAATGTATTAAATTTATTGCAAATTCTTATGGCTTACAATTCAGAATCTCTACATGCAAATTTTTTTTTAATTTTTCTGGTACTCATACTAGACCCATGAATTTCTTGATTCTTATTTTTTTTTCTTTTTTTTTTTTTGGTATGTACCATTTTAGTTTTTATTAATAAAATAGAAACCTAAACTCAGAGAACTGCTTTATTCTTGCATCTAATCTGACCATATATTGGAGTAGCAATTCTTTATAAAAGGACTTAGGTGAGAACTGTCAATATATCAGTTCCATCAAAAACTCTAGGTTGGAATATCTTAAAAAGAGCAAATTAAATATGAGAAAGCACAGAAATCTCCCCCTCAAACAAGAGGGGCTTCCTTTAATAGTCTTTAATGTAGCTCATTTGCAATTGTATGAAAATCCATCAAGATCAATCATGTTGCACAATCCCTAAAGGATAAAACTGAGGGAACTCATGGATAATTTTCACAGCTTTGTTGTAAAGTCCAAGATCAAAAGGATGGTTATCTTCTTTAAACTGGACATAAGATGTACACAAGATGGTGGCCTTGGTGGTTACTTTTCCAACCACTTCCATAATTCCAGAGATTTCTTCATCAAGGGGTTCCATCAACTCGATGGTTCCATTTTTTCCTTCTCCATCTGAAAGAATAAACATTTTTCCAGTGGGATGAATCTTTTCCAGCCTCTCTACGAAGCAGACAGGCTTGTCTATGAACTGAGCTAGCATGCTGGCGTTGATGCGTGACCTTGGCAACTCCATCATGTCCACCATGATTATGGCCCAAGAGTGCGGCTGGCGGGAAACCCACAGACTACTGAAACTGTGTGCCCCACGGTGTCTGTGGGGCAGATTTCTTCTTTCTGTTTTATAAAGTATTCATTATGTTAGCTGGTCAGTGATTATAGGAATTGTTTTTATGAGATTTAGTAGTGCACACAAAGTAATTTTCAAAGGTAATCCCATTAGTGTATTAAGTTTTAGTGTTAGAACATTCCATTTTGTTCTTTTAAGTGCAGAAACTTACATAGGCCTACTTTTATTTTTATTTTTTATTTTTTGAGATGGAGTTTCACTGTTATCACCCAGGCTGAAGTGCAGTGGTGCAATCTTGGCTCATTGCAGCCTCCACCTCCCAGGTTCAAGTGATTCTCCTCCCTCAGCCTCCCGAGTAGCTGGGATTAAAGGCATCTGCCACCACGCCTGGCTAATTTTTGTATTTTTAGTAGAAATAGGGTTTCATTGTGTTGGCCAGGCTGGTCTCGAACTCCTGACCTCAAATGATATGCCCACCTCGGCCTCCCAAAGTGCTGGGATTACAGGCATGAGTCACCGCACCCAGCTGAGCCTATCTTTATGTAGTTATTTTTTTAAAAAAAATTTTATTGACATAAATTTTATTTATTGAGTCAATTTGTTCAGGTAAGTACTAGGGAAGCTTCGTAACTTTTGAGGATGTTTTTATATGTAAAATATATCAACGAACATGACAGTGCTTGCTATGTAACAGATGCTCCATAATAAGGCAGAAATACTCGTGCTAAACTTAGTTTGTAACTTTGATTCAGAAATGAAAAATACCACTGGGCCAGGTGCAGTGACTCACGCCTATAATCCCAGCACTTCGGAAGGCAGAGTTGGGCAGATCATAAGGTCAGGTGATGAGACCATCGTGGCTAACACAGTGAAACCCTGTCTCCACTGAAAATACAAAAAATTAGCCAGCCATGGTAGTAGACGCCTGTAGTTGCAGCTACTCAGGTTGCTGAGGCAGGTGAATGGCGTGAATCTGGGAGGTGGAGCTTGTAGTGAGCCAAGATTTCACCGCTGCACTCCAGCCTGGGCAACAGAGCTGGACTCTGTCTCAAAAAAAAAGAAAAATGCCGGCTGGGCGTGGTGGCTCATGCCTGTAATGTCAACACTTTGGGAGGCCGAGGTGGGTAGGTCACCTGAAGTCAGGAGTTCAAGACCAGCCTGGCTAACATGGTGAAACCCCAGCTCTACCAAAATACAAAACTTAGATAGGCATGATGGCAGGTGCCTGTAACACCACCTCCTTGGAAGGTTGAGACATGAGAATTGCTTGAATGTGGGAGGCAGAGGTTGCAGTGAGCCGAGATCATGCCATTGCACTCCAGCCTGGGCGACAGACTTTTTTCTCAAAAAAATAAAATATCAATGCTGAGGATACAACATTGATATTTTTTTTTTTTTATGTGGAGAGGACACTTTTTTTTTCAGGCTGCAAAGCTGAATCTTGCTGAATTTAAAGAGAGATTCTGCTGCTTTAATTTCCTAATTATCTTGATTTTTTTAAAACTTTTTATGTGTATTCTAACTATGTGTCACAGCCCTTTTTCTTCTTGCTCTATTATGGCTACAGGTTTCTCACTTATCTCCATGCCATGTCATTTCACATGGTACTTTGTAGGTTCTGATGAGAAAGTTGGTACTTTTTAATGCATTGAAAAATTGGTTTTAACTAGAGTTTGCTTATTAACATAACTTTCAGATTAGTTAATTAAAAGACATAACACTTTCCACAAGAATATATCAGCATAGAATTTATATCAGTGAGAAGAATATATCAGTTAGCATGGTTTTGTTTATAAAAGGAAAACCTTGTTAGATTCTCACACAAAGAGTGAAAAATATAGTTTGCTAAAATAGATGTCTTAGAAATTTAATTTTTAAGAGTTGATTGTAAGTGAACAATTTCAAATTTAATTTTTATAATGTACTTATAGCATGAGTTATGTTTTCTATACAGTATCTTCAATTTTTAAGTGTGAATTTTGAAGTTGGCAAAATAATAAAGTGATCTCTGGATTTGACACTTGATGTAATTTTTTTTCATGTTGATACTACAATTTGGAGGAACTTCTTACTTTTTTTTCTAGTCTACAGTTTTTACTCTTTGTCACCTAACTGTAGTCAACTCCCTGGTCCTTTTCTCTGGAAAACTTTTGGAGAACATGGCTGCTTTTGGATTAAAATATTTCCCATTATTTTGCATAAAAACTAGTTTACTGTTTTCACGGAGTGGCCAGTCATGGGACCGTAAGCAACAGCTGCACCTTTTAGTGTTTTTCTTATTATTACCATCAACAACAGAAACTAAATACCCTATGCTTGAAATAAAAGCCCTAACATACATTGGCTCTTCCCATACACTCTGCTGGGTCCAGAAAATGCTGTTAAATATTAGAGTTTCTAAGCTGGGCATGGTGGCTCACGCCTGTAATCCCAGCACTTTGGAAGGCTGAAGTGGGTGGATCACCTGAGGTCAGGAGTTTGAGACCAGCCTGGTCAACATGGTGAAACCCCGTCTTTACCAAAAATAGAAAAATTAACTGGGCATGGTGGTGGGTGCCTGTAGTCACAGCTACTCGGAAGGCTGAGGCAGGAGAATCCCTTGAATCCAGGAGGCAAAGGTTGCATTGATCCAAGATTGTGCCATTGTACTCCACTCTGTCTTAAATAAGTAAATAAAATAAATATCAGAGTTCCTATGGTCATGGCTGACAAATGACAAAAACTTTTTGATAGTATTCTGCTGTTTAAGACAAAGACACAGTACTTGAAACATTGTTATAAATATATATATACACATGTATATATATATTTTTATATATATATATAATTTTTAGGCAAGGGTCTTGCTGTGTTACCCAGCTGAAGTGCAGTGGCATGGTCTCACCTCACTAAAACTTCCACATTTCAGGGTCAAGCAATTCTTATGTCTCGAATAGCTGGGATTACAGGTTGGTGGCACCATGCCTGGCTACTTTTTCTATTTTTCATGGAGATGGGGTTTCTTCATGTTGGCCAGGCTGGTCTTGACCTCAAGCGATTCACCCACCTTGGCCTCCCAAATTGCTGGAATTACATGTGTGAGCCAGTGCCTCCATATGTGTGTATGTGTGTGTATATATATATATAAATTTCTTTTTTCCAAAATGGTCTCATTCTGTCCTCCAGGCTGAAGTGCAGTGCAGCCTCCACCTACTGGGTTTAAGTGATTCTCCTGCCTCACTCTTCTGAGTAGCTGGGACTACAGGCCACCACTCCTGGCTAATTTTTGTATTTTTGGTAGAGACATGGTTTCACCCTGTTAGCCAGGCTGCTCTTGAACTCCTGACCTCAGGTGATCCACCCACCTTGGCCTCTCAAAGCACTGATTACAGGTATGAGTCACCATGCCAAGCTAAAAATACACTTTTCAAGTTGACAGATAAAATGTGTATTCTGCAAAACAATATTTTTAGGTATGTATACATCGTCACATGCTTAATTCTCGGTAATTAATGCTTTACCTCATGTAGTTAACATTTTTGTTGTGAGATCACGTGGCATTGTCTTAACATTTTTGAAAACCAGAAATACATTAGAATGAACTATAGTCATTGTGCTGTACAATAAATATTTTGGACTTATTCCTCTTATTCAAGTATAATTATATATTCTTTTCTTTCTAACTGCCCATTATAAACAACTTGGCATCTGGTATTCACCATTTTATTCTCTACAGCAATGAGATTGTTCTTTAGAATTCTTGTGTAAGTGAGACCGGGCCTGGTGGCTCACGCTTGTAATCCCAGCACGCTGGGAAGCCAAGGCAGGTGAATCACTTGAGGACAGGAGTTCGACACCAGCCTGGCCAACATGGTGAAACCCTGTCTCTACTGAAAATACAAAAAAAATTAGCCAGGCATGGTGGCGGGCACCTGTAATCTCAGCTACTTGGGAGGCTGAGGCAGGAGAATTGCTTGAACCCAGTGAAGGTTGCAGTGAGCTGAGATCACACCATTGCAATCCAACCTGGGAAACTTGCAAAACTGTCTTAAAAAAAAAAAAAAGTGTAAGTGATATCATAAGATAGTATTCATTCTGTGTCTGGCTTATTTAAAGTAATATAATGTTCTCCAGGTTAATCCATGTTACTGAAAGTAATAGAATTTTCTTTTTTAAAAGATGAATAGTATTCAATTTTGTGTGTATACCGCATTTATTTTATTTACTCATTAGATGTCAAACTGTTGACTCTGTATTTTGGCTATTGTGAGGAGTGCTGCAAACAACATAGAAGTGCAAATGTTTCTTTTTTTTTTTAGACAGGGTCTTGTTCTGTCGCCCAGGCTAGAGGCAGAGGCCTGATCTCGGCTCACTGCCACCTCCGTCTCCCAGGTTCAAGTGATTCTCCTGCCTCAGGCTCCCAAGTAGCTGGGATTACAGGCACGCACCACTGTGCCTGGCTAATTTTTGTATTTTTAGTAGAGACGAGGTTTCATCATGTTGATCAGGCTGGTCTTGAACTCCTGACCTTGTGATCCACCAGCCTCAGCCTCCCGAAGTGCTGGGATTACAGGCGTGAGCCACCGTGCCTGGCCAAATGTTTCTTCATCCTTATTTTATTTGTTGTGGATATATATCCAGTATTGAAATTATTGTATTATATAATAATTTTGATCTTATTTTTTTGTGAAATCTCTTTCGTTTTTCATAATTACCATCCTCATTTACATTAAAACCAACAGTGTGCAAGCATTCCCTTTTCTTCATCTCTATGCCAACACTTTTTTAAAATTTTTTTTGATTTTTATTTTTTTGAGACAGAGTCTTGCTCTTGTTGCCCAGACTGGAGTGCAATGGCACGATCTCAGCTCACCACAACCTCCGCCTTCCAGGTTCAAGCGATTCTCTTGCCTCAGCCTCCCGAGTGACTAGGATTACAAGCATGTGCTACCACACCTGGCTAATTTTGTATTTTTAGTAGAGACAGGGTTTCTCCATGTTGGTCAGGCTGGTCTTGAAC